ATATATTTAATTATAAATATATAATTTAAGTGGATTCGATTAAAATTTTCTCTCTTTTTTTTTATTATTATTATTATTATTATTATATCCACCGATATTATCGAAGAAGAAGAAGAAGAAGATAACTATCGGCATAAGATATACATCGTATCCTAGCACGTTAACAAAATTACCCAGTCTCGCGAGGTTAGGGTAAAAATAAAAAAATAATAAAAAAAAAAAAAAAAATACAAGTAAAAGAAAAAAAAGAAAGAGAAAAAAGAAAAAAGAGGGGGGGGGAAAAGAAAAAGGGACAAATTTACGAGACAATTATTCGCGCGAGGTAACGTATAATATGTCATTAGTGTTAGAAGATGACTATGACGCATACCGTTCGTCCTTCGTAACTATCCCTCCTTCCTCCTCCTCCTCCTCTTCCTCTTCCTCCTCTATCAATGAAAAATATGATCTTTCGATCGATCGATAGGTGGTCAACCTAGGTATTACATACCCGTTGTAAAATATCCCCTTCACATCGTTCTACCCTAACAATGATGGCTAATTATAATCCACGTTCTTATTACTAGCTTTTTTTCTTTTTTTTCTTTTTTTTTTTTAAATATTCCTCCTCCTCCTCCTCTTTCATCCTTTCTTTAGCAATAACGAAGAAGGTAAGGAAAAATACAACGACATAATTTATCTACGATTTTCTTCTACTCAACGAATTAATATCAAACTAAAATCCCGATAATTAACGATGTGTTTTTTTTGTTACTTTACCCTTTCCCCATCGATTATCTACACCTTTGTTCTTTTTTTTTCTTCAATTATTTCTAACAGAACGTCGGTCAAACTTTCGACTATTATATTATGCGTTTGATAATATTAATGTAAAAATAATATTAATGTTATAAATATTGTATCGAGTGTTGTCTAATGAAAATTATTAAATACAATTTATTATTAGATTTCTCTGTGATTTAATGATATCAACGAATGAGAAAACACTAAGCAATAATAAATAATAAACTATTCTTATTCGTACAAAACGAGGAGGAAGGGAGGGGGTGGGCGGTGGTAAGAGTCTTGAAATGGATTTAGAAAAAAGAAAAAAAAAAAAATAGAAAAATATGATCGAATGTAAGAGAATTTTCCCGGGATTTTACGTTAACCTAAGGCCAGATCGGCAATTCTCGTCGACTATGCAAGAGGGGGGACTAGTTTTCATCGGGCATGTACCTCACGTGCAACGTCCCCGGACACCATTTCCTGTTTCCTTCCTTGTCCACGGCCGCCAGAAACCGGAAAATCCACAAAAGCCATACGTTATCTCTACGCATACGAGAACCAACCAACCAACCAACCAACAAACTAGCCAACCAACCAACTAGCCAGCCAGCGTGGGTTCATTTCTCTCTCGGTTCTGTTACTACTTTTAAAGTTAAAGAAGAAAGATTGCATTCTCCTCATCCCCATACCTTCCCCATACTATACCCCCTCCTACTTGTCTAAGTAAAGTCTCATCTTTCTCACTTCATGGGGAGTGGGAAGGGGGGAAGGGGAAACCCTATCGTCTCGTACGATGAATTATCTTGCGAGATTGAAACGTATCGAAGAAAAATTGCAACCAATCGTATCTATACTTTCAACCCTCTTCCCATTAACCTCCACTCCAACCAACCAACCGAATGTTTTTCTATTGGGTATTTTAATTGAAGGTTGTTGGTATGTTGTAAAGTTTGAATCATTTGTTTTGTGATCTCGATGAAATTCATTTATGTTAGATATTGATTATGTTTCATTGACAAAATTGAAGAAACGTTTAATTTATTTGATTTACATTAAACAATTTTAATTGAATATCTAGAGAATCTCTAATTAAATAGATAATTAATGAATAAAATACAAATTATAAATATAAACTAATAAAAACTAAGATCGTTCGAATGTTTTGACCTATCTTACTAGTGTCTTGGAAGTATGGGAGGGGGGAAGGAGGGATAAGATCCTAATAAGAAATATGACAATTGTCGTAGGGAAAAAATGCATGAAGTTTTATGCAAACGTTAGATTAAATTTATGTTAATCGATTGAAAAAAGTAAATAATAAAATAAAGATAAAGATAATTCGCGAATGTTTTGAGTTATCTTATTAGAATCCTAGAGTGGCGGATGGATATGTGTGTGTGTGTGTGTGTGTGCGTGTGTGGGACGCAAAGGGGGTAAAATCGTAATTATAAAAATGACAATTGTCATAGGGAAAATGCATTAAGTTTTACGCAAACGTCCGTTCGATTAAAGTCATGCTGACGACTTCGTAAAGTGGTTGAGCATTTGCGATAACGTTTGAAAATTCTTGAGTGGTTTTACTGATTCTCCTTGATCGCTTTTAATACTTCCAACAAGAGTGCTTCGACGTACGATAAAGAAAAAGAGAGAGATTGAGAGAGAGAGAGAGAGAGAGAGAGAGAGAGAGAGAGAGAGAGAGAGAAAGATAAAGATAGAAAAGGATGTTTCTAGACACAAACGTTCATTGCAGGATTTAATTACGTCGTTACGGGTAAGAGTAATCGTTGAAAGCAGCACTGTCACGGCTTTTAATCTGCGGACACCTTGGCAATTATTTCACGCGGTCATTTTCTTTTCTTTATCCGGCTTTGTCGCCGTTTCTTTTTTTTTTTCCTTTTTTATTTTCTTTTCTTTTTGTGCCCCGAACCCCTCTCCCCCGCCATCTCGTCCTGCCATCCCGCCCCTCCGCCCCCTCACCATCGTTTTCTCCGATTATTTTCATTTGTTTACCGTATCTTTGCTTATTTTTATATTTGTCACATTTTTTGTTTATTTTTTTCTCTTTTTTAATTATATTTCCGAAGGACCGCAGCAGCATATATTCCTTTCACCTACTCGCACACGCACACACGAACATGCTACTCCAAATCTCTTTGTTAATCGATATCAACTATCGTTCGATCTGATCGATAATATTGAATCGTAATGCGTTGTCATCGGCTGCCGATACGATAGTTTCTATCGTATCAATGAGAAAAGTTTAAATCGATATGTATATATATGTTACCGTCATAGCCAGAAATCCGCCATTGCTAGTAATGAACAACGGCTAATTATGAACCTTTGCAGATTGATTTATAACTCAAATTTGTATTCTACGCGTAGACAAAAGAGTGTATTTTAATTTAATATAAGTTTCATTAAAATTTATTCACTTTTAGTATAAAAAATATTTACCGAAACTTTCCATCAAATTGCAAAGATGCATAAATTTTTGACGATAGAATAATGTATAATAGTATGATTAAAAATAGAAAAATGAAGTAGATGAGAAAAGAAACTTGATACAAGTGAATGAATATTTAAAAATGATTAATTGAAAAAAACAAAATTTTCTAAAACAATACGAAACATTGTAACGTTAATAATATACCAACTTGAAAGGATTCATTATTAAATTATTCTATTAATTAAATTTATAAATGACACGTATCTCTTTCTTGACACGCGAACATTTCTATTCGATATTTTGTTCAAACCAAACGCAACACACATTTTGCTCCATTCCCTTCTCTCCAATTATTATAAAAGCCAAATTTTTTTCAACGACAAAATTTCTCGACCAAACAACCGCGAACAACAACGTCGTGTCTTTAAGAATGTATACACTTTTTTTCTGTGTAACCCCCCCTCTTCCACGATCCCCGTTACCGAAAGGGTTCTCGAAGCAAAATTGAAAAAAAAAAAAAAAAAAAAAAAAAAAAAGAAAAATAAACCTCCGAAGAAAACGAAGAAGTAGAAGAAGTAGTAGAAGAATGGACAAGATAAAGCAGAAAGAAAGAAAGAAAGAAAGAAAGAAAAAGAAGAAAGATATCGTTCGGACCGTTCCCTTTCGTTCTGCTTCACGCACTCCCGCGTGAAATCACGAAGAGAAGGAGTTAAAGAAGGAGGAAGAGGAGTAACAGGGGGGAAGGGGAGGAAGGAGGATGTTGAGAGGGATACGACCAAGAGAACTCGACCTCTACCTTGGTCACCATGCATCGTGGAATTCATTCGAAGAAGATTCTCTCTCTTTCTCTCTCTCTCATTTCTCTTACTAACCCGTTGCTCCTGTTTTGCATATTACACACCGTGATCCTTGAGATTTGGTCGTTAGATTCACCTACACTTTCTTATTTCCTTTTAAAAGATCGATCGGGTTGCGTTGTTGTTTCTTCTCATTCGCTCCACATTCAACACCATCCAACACACACATACACACACACGTAACACACCTTCATACTTTTGTTTCTTTAACCGTAGGATGGTTCATCTTCGACCCCCTCCTCTCCTCACCTCTCCTACTCATCTTGTCTTTTCTTCTCTTCATTCTTCTCTTTATACTTCACCTCTTTTTAGTCCTGAGTATATATATATACCCAGTGGTGTGTTATTAAATGCACGCGCTACGACAATTTCAGTAGAATTTTTTTTGTCCATGTTCTCAAAACGTATATTTAAATACTAATGACGATTCTTGTCTTTTGTTCCCTCCCCACCCCCATCGGTTTATTTATTTCATCGTTCGTCACCTTTACTCGAAACAAAAATTCAATCGAGATGTTTAATTAAATCGTAGGTGTATTTCGATGATTGAACGAGTATAATATTAGTGTGTTAAT